GCATGCTGGGTAAAGTGGAAGGGCGGCCAGGGAGAAGGCCCTCAAGAAGTGGCCTGACAACTGGCTGCCACAATGGGCTCGGCAGAGGAGCGATGGTAAGAACGGTGCAGACTGTGCGGGTCTCCGGGGTCCGAACCAACCAGACAATGGCGAACCACAACGACATGTTGTTCATGTGACGCTAGAGAGCCCTCCCACCGTCGTGTTTTAACTGATAAGCAGCAAGAAGCATCGATGGCACAACAGTTAAGCCAACCTCCATGCTGGGATTCCACACTGGCCCGCAGCGCCAAGGAGGGACGAAGGGGCTCTCTGCTCCTGTGAAGCTCACTGTCGGCGGGGCTCTTCTGCTCTGCATGTGGGGCCCTGAGGGCTCACACTGATCCAGTGGCCCCAACAACTCAATAAACAGACCCCACGAGCAGATGCTATGAAAATATCAACGAACCTCACAGATGGGGAGAAACACTGTGAAGCCCACCTTCTCCTTCAGTCACGTCCACAGAAGTCAACAGCCAGCGCCAGCATAACCGTCTCTCTCGTGCCCCGGCTACTGACTCTGAACACGCAGTCGCCTTTCACGGTTTCTCCCCGATGAGTCACGCCTTCACATCATCCCATATGCGAAATTTTAAACATCTTCCGAGAGTCAGCCGGGCCCAGGTTTTTCCATACATCACTCAGGTCTCAGAGGAGTAGAAGATAGTTTGGAAACGTGCAAAGCACCTTCGCCTTGTCAAGACAACGGAGACAGGTTAGCTGAGCGAGGTGGTGGAGGGGTAGAGGGTGCTCCTGGCTTTTTAACAGGCTTGGACCCAGGATGCTAACCAGACTGCAGTGTGTCAAACCATCCTGAAAAGAGAACTGTTCTGCCCCAAATTCAATAATGCCCCACTTAAGAAACCATAGATGTCATCCACATTGGTGTTTCTTTTCTGTGATCAGAACTTTTTAAATGTTTTATTCATACATCTACTGAATCTTCTTTTTAAAATAGCACCTTCTATGTCACTGTGAATGAGAATCGGCTTGATGACGTGAAGGTCAGGGTTTGGTTGGGTTTGGTTTGGTTGGGATGCGTTTCAAACCCACCAGCCTTTCCCTGGGCTGAAAGAGTGGACAATCTGCTCCGTAAAGATGACAACCGCTGGGAACACCCATGGGGCAGGTCTACCCTGTCCTACAGGGTGACCGTGAGTCAGAACCCACAGTGGCACTCAACCACCACAACATGTACTAGGTCTTGAAGACACAACAGATCATGGCCCTACACTGCACATGTCAGCCTGTGGCACATGCGACCTGCGGAGGTACGGTGGCTGCTTCATGACATGACAGATCCTGAATTTACAAGTAGAGATTGTCAGTATGAAACAGCTCAGAGATCATGAAGAGGGGTAATTGACAGGTCAGGACTTCATGGGTTTTGAAGAGAAAAGAAATGCTAAAGAAGAAAGACAATGGTAAAAGGGAGGGGAGGAGGTGATGGTGAAGGCTCTGTGTCAACTTGGCTAGGCCACCGTTCTCAGTGGTGCACCAGATATGATATAACCATCCTCCATTTCCTTATACAATATGAGCAGGCCACCCGTGGAAAGGAGTTTCCATGGAGGTATGGCTCACATCTAATGGTAGAGGGGAAGTCGAGAAGTAGTACTACGAAACACTGGAAACACTGGTTAAGTCAACACATGGGCAAGTACAACATTCATTTCTCCGTCTACCCTCCATCGAGATCCAAACACCTCAGCAGGCCGTGTCTCCATCTCTTTAACCCTTCCCTGAAGACTTCCACATATTTTGAAATGGTGCCATATCCGTTTTTGAATTCAAGGGACCCAAATCACGTTCCCTTTCAACATCCTTGGAGACCACAGAGCACCGTGCAAGCCAAAGGCCAGGGACGCAGGCTGGATGGAGGCAGCATTCCCACAGCAAGACGGCAGGACACCCCAGCTGCAGCTTTCTCACAAACCCAGCCTTTGGCTTCCGTAAAGCTTCGTTAGGTCTTGGACTTCAGTGTGCTGACCATTCACACTACCGGGGAATTCCAAGACCAAACCCCCTGTTGTCCTTCCAGGACGGCGTTGAGCCGGAGCTATGGATCTCTGGCAGCTCCCTGCCAGTGTCCTGCCATGGTCAGTAACATTTTATTTGCATGTGATCTTAATGATAGGCTTCTATGATTTGCACATTCTATTGGGTTACCTTTCTTTAGAATTAACTACACGGTCCAAAGTTCTCGAAACCACGAGTCACTTCAGGGGAGAACGATGGGGTTTTCTACTCCTGCAACAAGTTAGAGTCTCAGAAATCCACAGTGACAGTTCTGCCCTGGCCTCTGGAATCACAGTGAGTCAGCATTGATTGGATGGCGGTGAGTTTGAATTTCTCTTTGGAATGGATACTAATGTGGATCTCTTCAAGTTGGCAGAGTAGTTGTCTTCCAAATTTCTTAGCATAGACAAATGGGTGTCTCTAGTCCTTAATCAGCTTGTTGAAACACTTCAATGTGTGTTAGTTCCAGTTTACTTGAGAAACAAATACACAGACACATGTGTGTAAAAAAGAGCTTTATATAAAAGAGCAATTGTATATGAGAAAACATCTCAGCCCAGCCCCGATCAAGTCCATAAGCCCCATATTAGCACATATGTCTGATACTAGTCCATAAATTCCTCTTTTGACTCACGCAGTACATGCAATGATGCTGAAGGCAGGAAGATCATAGGCCAGCGGGTAGAAGGTATTGTGGATCCAGTGGCAGTGAAAGCATCTCAACACTGGCATAGGTCTCCACGTGTCTCCTGCAGCTCTCTCGGTGTCTCATCAGCAGGAAAGGGAAGGCAGAGAAACTGGGTCTGGCCTCCAGTGACTATTTATCTCCATCCACGCCTCCAAATGAGGCCATCAAGCTGCGATCTGATGGACAGGCTAGACTCCACCCCTTCGCCCAAGTTGACAGGAGATGATGTAACTGCCACAAACTGGTATTCCATCAATTCCTGGACCCTTGTTTTTGGCTAATGCTACCCGTGTAGCTTGGTCTGCTTTCTTCAGGACTCTTGGTTCTTGATCACGTGCTACCTCTTGAAATGGTTGAATGTCCATTAGTTCTTGTTGGTGTGGCCACTCTATGTATTAATCAAAAGCATCTTCTTTTGATGCTTTCTGTATCATTCAATATTTTGCCCATAGAATCTTTCAATTTCAAGATCAGGTATCAGGCACCAGGAGACCCAACACACACACACACACACACACACACACATATTTTGAGAACGAGGGGGGTAGGAGCAGAGACCCAAAATCCATCTGTAGACAATTGCACATCCCCTCACAGAAGAGTCACAAGGAAGGAATGACTCAACCAGGGTGCAGCATAGCACCGATGAAACACAATATTCCTCTGGTTCTTCGAGGCTTCCTCTTCCCATACTACCATGACCCCAGTGCTGCCTTTCAGTCCTGGCCAGACGGAGCATGTACACTGGTACAGCTAAGAACTCACGACACATGGAACCCAGGTCAGATCGACCCCTCAGAAACAGAAATGGGAGTAGTAAGTAATAACAGTAGGGTAGGAGGAAGGTGGAAGGAGAGGGGAGGAAGGGGGAATGGATCCCAGTTATCATAACCATCCTCCCCTCCCTCCTAGGGGGACCAACAACAGAAACGTGGGTGAAGGGAGACAGCGGTCAGTGTAAGACATGAAAACAATAATTTATAATTTATGAAGGGGTCACGAGGGTGGGAATGATGGGAGGGAGGGGAAAAAGAGGAACTAATACCAAGGGCTCAAATAGAGAGCAAATGTTTAGAAAATGATGATGGCAGCATATGTACAAATACGCTTGATACAACTGATGTATGGATTGTTATAAGAACTGTAAGAACCCCAAAGAAAATGATCTTTAAAATAATAATAATAATAACGTGTTAAACAGTAAAGATGTCACTTTAAGAACTGAGGTGCGGGGAGACCCAGGACAGTGTATTTTCAAATGCCTCGTCTACATATGACCGCAGGACTCTAAGAGAGGTAAAAGAAAAGTCACACCTTTGAATTAAAATTATGGCGAATCTACCCCAGACTTGCAGAAGAACAAACAGTCTGTCTTGAAAGAATCGCAGCTGGAATGGTCCCTGGAAAAGATCATCATGCTCCCTCCATCAGGCAGAAGGTGGGCGATCCGAGGGGACCCTGCAGAGATGCACGAGGCCCGGCTGGGCTGCACCGAGCACGCGATGAGCCCTGCTGGTGACAAAGGAGATGCATCCCCTAGAAAGAAGTGAACACACAGTCTCAGCCTCTGGGCGGGCGTCCTACCCTCTCTGAGCTCCGCGGAGCCGGAATCGACTCCTGGCGGGGACATGGGCTTGGTTTTTGGTGGCCCTCCACAGAAATTCTCCGCTCGCAGACGACAAGTAATAAATAATAATGTGTTGTTCTATGACTCCTGTTTTTACCATAGCTGACAGTTGAGGGGCCTGGGGGCTAGTGGGCTGTGCAAGATCGGCGGTTTGGAGCCACCAGCCACTTTGAGGGAGGAAGATGAGACTTCTTGCACCTGGGAAGATCCCCGGGCTCTAATACAGCCCTAAGGTAAACCCTTAGGGGCAGTTCTAACCTGCCCTCCTGAGTCGCCATGAGCTGGAGTCGACTTGAGAGAAGTGAGTCTGAAGTATTAAACACTTGCATTAACTGCCTCTGTCGGTTTACGTTATTGTAGGCCATTCTTTCGAGCAAGGCAGCAAAAACAAACACACAGAACATTATCTGCCTAGGAGTCTTTAACTAGGGAAAGGGCAAACTAGGTCCCATAGCAAGCACGCTCGAAGAAGTTTGACCCTCCTGGGCCCCCGTAAGACGTTTCGCCAAGGTTTCCAATTCCCTGCGTCCTGCCCGGCACCACGGAAACGAAACGGGGCCAGGCCCCGCCCCGCGGCCCGTGTGAGCCAATCGCGGCGCAGCTCGGGCTGGTCGCGTGTCGGGTGTCATGGCGGCCTGCAGGCGCTGTTGCGGGTGCGTCCGGCTCGGGCCGCCGGGCTGGGGTCCCCTCGGCCTCCCCGGGCGGCCTCGGGCGCTCACCCCGCTGCAAGCGCGAGCGCGATGGGGTGGCTCGGGGCCCCGAGCTGTGGCCGTGGACTTAGGCAGCAGGTAAGCCCGACGTGCCTCCCGCCCTTCCACGAGGCGTCCTGCGGCCAGTCCAGACGCCCCATCTCCGGGTGGAGGCACAGCGCAGGCCGCTGCTCTGCGCGCCTCCTACCCCACATCGACAGTCCGCCATCCCCCTTCCCGGGTCTGCAGTCTCGCTCCTTTCCGTGCGCCTTAGCCGCGTGCCCTGTGGGTTTCTGCAGCTTGCTTTTGCCCCGGTCCGGGCTCCCGTCCCCTTTACTTTCCGAGGGACTCCTTGGGTGGTGCACTTGGCTGCTCCAAGCCCCGAGGTGGGACGTTCGGGCCCACCTAGAAGAAAGGTGTGGTGATCTACTTGCAAAGCATCAGCCCTTGAAAAGCCTGCTGAGCTCGGTTCGACAATGATGGAGCTGCACAGGCTTCTCCGACGAAGTGCTTCCCCCCAGAAAACGAACCCACTGCCATCGAGTCCTTGCCGACTCATAGCGACCCTATAGGACAGAGTAGAACTGGCCCCGTGGGTTCCCAAAGCTCTAAATCTTTATGGGAGGAGAACGCCTCAACTTTCTCCCTCTGAGCGGCCAGTGGGTTCAAACTGTGGGCCCTGCCATTAGCAGCCCAGCGTGTAACCCCCTGCTCACGGGGTGGGGTGGGGTGGGGACGGACTTGAAGCAATCACCCAGAGCATTTGATTCCGCAGACAAGTATGTGCTAGGCACCGGCGACGCAAAGCAACAAGATGATGGCCCCAGCGCCCTCCAAATTTGCACGACATAATGGTTTCAGAATTGTTCATTAGTAATCCACCTGCACCTTTCCTATAGCTGTGTCGTGTGTTGAAATATTTGCCGTACTTACTGGGAAAGCAGTTTATGGCGGTCTTTGTCCTTTTTCGCACAGACTGAGGGAGTAGCAGCTAGGATCCAAGCAAGTTATATTGTTCTGCGTGTTCTTACCAACACCCTCGAGGTGGGTTTGGACCTTGGACCTGCTAACCGGAAGGTCATTGGGTCAAATCACGAGCTGCTGTGTGAGAGAGCGATGAGGCCGTCTGCACCGGCAGAGATTCACAGAGCCCCCGAAACCCTACGTAAAGTCTGAGCCGGACTGGCCTCGATGGCAGAGCATTTGGTCTTGGGTTGGTTGACAGAGGGCCAAGAGTAGCTGAAGAAAGAAAGGGAAACGCCTGCTCTGGTTGGTGTTTTTCATGTCAGGAACTTGATGTTCACCTGAACTTTTCAAGCAAGGGCTTCTTTATCACTTCAGTAAGCATTTTTCAGCATCTATGAGCAAGGCTGTGGAGATGCAGTGTTTGATAAGGATCAAGGTTAAACTCAGGTTTGGGGTGGGGATCACGATAAGAGAAGTATGCACAGGGCACTCTGGCAGCACAAATGTTTTTCATGCCTGAAGCTCGCAATTAGAAGCAGTGGTGGGGCAGTGGATAAAGTGCTCGTCTGCGAGCTAAAGGGTCGTGAGATAAGCCCACCAGCGGATCCATGGGAGACAGCATGGCAGTCAGCTTCTGTGACGATTACGGCCTTGGGAACACTGTGGGAGGGGGCGGAAGGGGGTTCTGCTCCACCTTCCAAGGCCCCTGAGCAGAGAGTTTAACAAAAGGAGGGGGGGGTTGTTTGTTTTATTTGGGGGAAGCTTGCCACTCCCTGGGAAGTGAGGCTTTGAAGGAAGAGGAGGAATAAGCAAAAAGAAAGTAGCAGGATCAAGAGGGTGTGTGCATTTGCAGACATGAAAAAGCAAAGTGCATTTAGGTAGCTGTGAAAAACTCCCTAGGATGAAACGAAAGGTGAGCTGTGAGTTAGCGATGTATGCAGATGCCAAATCAGGATAGTCTAGGTTTTTAAAAAATATTTCTTGGTGAACGTTGTTGGATTATCTGTTAGTCTGGGTTGACTAGAGAAACAAATCCAGGGACACTCATATGTGTAAGAGAGAGCTTTATATCAAAGAGTAATTGTGTATTAAGAAAGCAGCCCGGCCCAGTCCAGATCAAGCCCATAAGCCCAATACTAGTCCAAAAATCTTTCTTCAGACTCATGCAGTCACATGCAATGATGCAGAATGCAGGAGACTCACAGGCCAGTGGGTGTAAAGTCCCGTGGATCCAGTGGTGGTGGAAGCATCTCCCAGGCTCTTGCAGGTCTCAGCGTGGCTCAGTGTGTCTCCCCAACCGGAGGTGAAAACAGAGAGCGGCTCCTAACAGGTCTCAGCATTCTCCAAACAGAGAGTGGCTCCTAACAGGTCTCAGCATTCTCCGAGTGGCTTGTCAACAAGAAGACAAAGGCAGAGAGAGGGCACATTCCCCAAATCCTCCTGAGAAGGCCACACCCACAAGGAGGCGTCATCAGGCTGTGACCTGATTGACAGGCTGAACTCCATCCCTTCACTCTTAATGCTATCACGCTGACATGAGACTATGTAACGACCAAGATTACACTTCACATCATTCAGCAAGTGTTTTCTAAAACAAATGCAAAGTGATATCTCCTTGTGGTCTGGAGTTGTGTTTCTTGAATGACTAGCCATGCCGAGCCTCTTTGTACGGGCTGTCTCAGTATCTCGGTGCTGCTGTCCGAGGAATACTGTGAACTTCTGAACGACTGTTCACAAGTTGGTTTTCTCAGTGTTCAAGAGGCTCTGAGGGGTGTGTGATGCCTGACCTGTGTATGATGTGGGGTCTGCCTGCTGGCCCGAGGCCTCTTTGCCTTGATTCCTAATCTGTTCTCCTATCTCAAAGGTGACTGGATTAAGACCTATCCTGAATGCTCTGCACCCCCTGAAATGCCTCTCTTACTTAGAATCGATCCTATGCCATTAGCTTTGCTATTCTTCCTTAAGCATCTCATACACCACTCTTGTGGGGTTTTGCCCATCATTGTTATTGAGGTCCTTATTCTATATTACCTCCCCTTAATCCCTTTCACCCCTTGAATTTTTGTTAATGATTTTAAACACTATCCCTTTTCCTCCCTGGATGCAGAGCTATAGGGTGTGGCAACCTTGAGTTCCATTAGAATCTTTCATTCTTTTTCTTAATCAGTACTAAGCTGGGAATTATATTGATGGCCTAAGTCCTTTTGTGTTGCTTTTTATTTTTTTACAGAAAATTAGAGCTATCCTCTGGAAAACTGGCCAGATTTGCAGATGGCTCTGCCGTAGTGCAGGTAAAAAGTTGAGCTTTTATAAATCTCATCACTAAATGGTTGCAGAAACTGGGTATCTTTTCAATATCGTAGAACTTCATAAAATTGTGGTACTGGAAATTAATTTAGATGTAAGTAAGATCAATGCCAGGGCAGCCAGGAAGGCAGAAGCCTGGGTATGTTAAGTGGCCTTGAAGATTGCTTATAAATTTGGGGCTCTGATTTATCCTGTTGGCATTAATAGATGCTCTTTATGATTGTCTGGAGAAAATGATGTCGACTGTTTTCTTCAGTAGTGATACTTGGGTGTGAGTCGATATATTAGCTGTGGCTGAGCTGTTGGTGAGCCTTCCGGTCCCGTTGCTCCAGAGAAGCCTCATGGCTGCCTGATCCTGACCGGGGGTCTTAGAGAAGGGCCTCAGATTGGCCATTTGTAGATGTAGATAATTATCCAATCACAGAATAATAATGCCCCCTTATTTGGAGTGAGGACTCCTTCGGTGGCTACTTAAATGTCCAGAGACGATCTTGAAGGGAATTGCTAACGTTGCTGTTTGTCTCCCAAGTCAGGTGACACGGCGGTGATGGTCACAGCAGTGAGTAAGGTGAAGCCCTCGCCCTCCCAGTTCATGCCCTTGGTGGTGAGTACTCGAGGATGTCCCTCACCGCAGTAGACCCTCAGTGTGGGGCTTGGAGTGTCTTTGTCCAGTATCTAGGGAGCGTAAAACAGGAGCTTGGCACAACACAAGTTTTTAAATGTTTGACTCAGTAAAAAGGTTTGTGTCATTAAACAAATATAGACTGATTGCTTCCACTGATTGGAATACTACTAATGAGTAAACTTTGTTAGTGCCCAGATGTCTAAGTTACTCAGAACAGTGGACAGGCGAATGCCCATTGCTCTCGAAGTTCTCATTGAGTGGATACTAGCTTAGAGACCCATGGTGAAGGGTGGGCTATGCTATAGGGGTTTCACTCTCTGCTTGGAGTCTGTTGTTCTTAGTTAGTTGCCACTGACCCGTGATGGAGGTGGGCTGTGCTGCGAGGTCTCCACCTTTGTGAGCTCTCACGGTCAGGTCGCCAGGCCTGCCCTCTTAGGAGCCTCTGGTTGGGTTCCCACGGCCCCAGGCCTCCTCATGCGTCTACAGGTATCTCTGTAGGGAAGAGTCAGTTCCGTGGGGTTGCATGGCTATTTTCCTTTATTAAAAAGGAGTCATGATATTGGTCAGAGTCTCGCAC